TTCCAGGCTGATGCTTGAATTCAAAGCTGCCAACCAGTACGTAAAAACCTATATATGTAATACATTTTTTAGGGTAAGTATTAAATGAAATGAGTTCTGTTTTCTAGTATTTCTCCTCACTGTCTTGCTAATGAAAAAAAAAAAACGCAAACAACTTTACAGACCAAATTTGCTCATTATAGTGAGAAACCTGTAAGTCTATTCAAGACTACAAGAGGTCTTTTGCTGCAAGTCCCCTTTGAATAGCTTGAATTTATTGAAGGGGAAAAGTGTGTTTGAAGGTTAGAGGGGGTAGGGGTTACTTGTCCAATGCCCACCATTATGGGTAGTCTTTTTGAAAAGTTGGCAGCTGTGTGAAGTTTAAGCCTTTCCAAGGATTAGACTGGTTACAGTGAAGAATGCTTTCAAACTTCAGAACTACTTTTGGTTTATACCATGTCATGATCTGAAATGATACACACCTTTTGTGATGCTCACGTTCCTTCCCTCTGAATTTTTGGATTACAGCATAGCCCCTGTGTGTCCAACATTTTTCCGTCTGTATTTACCTCCTTTCCTTTGCACACTTTAAACTGTGTAAAATGCTCTGCATTCAAGTAATTGTTTTAATTGGACTATTTCATTGTTTTTAATGAGAGGGGAGGAGGAGGGGGTAGTGTACTGTATTTTTTATGCGTGCTTGACTTTCTATTGCTGTTTGGAGGCCAATATTGTCTTTAATTATTTTTTTTAAATACTGGTAGCCGTGGCCTGATGACTTCCTCTCATGTTGATAGAATTATCAAAATGCTACACAGAAGGTGTTATCTGCCCCTGATTTCAATTGATTTTTGTTGCTTACTTATGGTGTCATGTCATAATATAGCAAAATATCCTAAATGACTTCTTGATCGAACGCCTGGAGCTGTGTGCACATGGGAGTTTGCGCTTTTAAAAAAACACATACATTGTTATTATTATTGTTCGATCAGATTTGTTGTGTATAGTTCAGTCTGCTCTTGTAGATTAGTAATTAGTAAGCATACTCTAAACTTCGATTCTACTGGTTTCATGACTCAGTGTTACGTGAACGTTTGTGTTACACGAGTTACGGGGATTTCCATGACATGGAGGATGACAAAATCATTATTTATAGCTCATGGGGAGGACTTCCCCGGTCATTTTTCATGTTTAAGTAACCTTGCACTGGACACTGCTTACGAAAATCTTAAAACGCCCCCTCCCCCTTTTTTTCTCCATTTACCTCAATACTACTTTCTGGTCGCCCGACAAACGAAAGTGCTTTGTTGCCAGTATATTGGGTAATGTTTATTGTTGAGTAACGTTTATAACCGGCTGGCGCCCATTTGTTTATGTATGTTACACATTGAGAACAGAAACTTGGACGTGTAGGCTGAGGCTGTTCCATTTTAGGGTGGCAGTGTTTCATATCGTGTCTGTGTGTGGGGGGGGGGGGGGGGGGGGGGGACAGGGTGGTTGTAAAGCAATGCAGTTTTCACACCTTCTATAGCTTGAATGTTATACACGTTACACTTAGATCTAGATCTATATCAAAACAAACACGGTGTTTAAAGTTGTTTTTGTTTTTTAAAGTATAATATGGGTCGGTGTGAATGAACTTCTTACTCTGTGCCACCTAACAACTGACTCAGGCCGGATGTTGACAATTTGTCAATTTCCCTGATTGCCGCTCTTCCGTGTGAGCACAATGTGCGTGTGCTTGTATGCTCTGTCTAAATCGTAACGACAACAGCTGACAACGTGTTCGCGTCGCACGTTCCTTAGCCTGGCAAACTGGGAAGCTTTGAGTCGAAACTGTTTGAGTAGAAACTTCGAAAACAGCTATCTCCCATAATGCTCCCGACTTGGCATCGTCCCCCATTTATCACGTTTTGTATTTTTTAAATTTTATTTGAAAAAGAAATCATTTATTTATTCATTTTTATTTTCTATCCAATATTCACCCTCCTCTAGTGCTTCGCATTGGGTAAAAAAAAAAAAAGAAGAAGAAGAATTTTGGAGGAAAGGGCAGAAAGAGTGCTGTGTTGTTCGCGAGACGCATGGCACTGCTCAGTCCTGGTGGGATGAGGTCATGGTAGGATACAGCTGAAGGGAGTGTTGAGGACAGGGGTGATTTTTTTTAAGGGGATGGGGGTGCAACAGTCTCCGCACAGTGGCGGGAGATGTTTTTGGGCAGCTGTAGAAAGAGAGGGGAGGGGGTGGTGGCGTCTGTCCATGGACCACCGGGTAGAGAGAGGCTGGGGTCATCGTTGTGTGTGCGCAGTCGGCCGTCATTATCAGAGCTATTGATTGGCTTTGCTGTGTGCGAGCGTATGTGTGTGTGCGCGCGCGTGTGTGTATGTGTCGGTCGCCTCTGACCCGGCCCGCCGCCCGGACGGGACTACTTTCTTTCCTTTGTGCGTGACCTAGTAATGAGGCTTTTCTGGGTTACCTCACTTCCGAGCCGCAGCCCGCTTTGTGCGGCCGCCTTCAGGACCTATAGTTAGTGAAGAACTGACTATAGATTCGCAAAGCAAAGAGTACAATAGAGTGAGGACTTACGCTGAACGATTACTTCATAGATGGGCTTAGTAAACAGGCGGCTTGCCCGCCATTAAGTTGGCTGTATCTGTTCTACACTTCTCGCCTGCCCTCTTCTGTCTACCCGCCTGTTTTTAAATGCTATGTGTCGACAAGATTGTTTATGGAAGCTGTCACTATCAGTCAGATTGGGTCGGTGTAGTTTTACACTCCCCAAAGTGTCAACAGGTGGATAGCGCTACAGAAACGAGTTATTATGTTTGCGTATCTCAATAACTGTCGGTCAGCATGTCGACTGGTGATCGATAGATAAGTACACTGACATGAAGGTTGGCTGGGTCGCCCCTTTCGGAGCTTTTCTTTGTAGAAAGTTGTACATTGAACAAAGCCTGTTGAAAGCAAATTTGAAATTACCAGGGACCGTTGTCAGAAAACCATGTGATCTTCACCGGGGAAGGGGTGGGGGGAGGAAGACATGCTCCTCACATTGGTTTAAACCGCCTTCTTTGAAAATAACAATATTATGCACCATTTCCGACCGGAAAAGTCAATGGACACTTTGCTGGGATATTGTTTTGTTGTTGTTTTTGGTGAAACTTTTTTATGCCTATTTTTTTCTACTGTCTTTGATTCCAAAGACATGTTTTCTTCTTTCCACACCCCACACCCCCACCCCCACCCCCGTTCTCTATCTCTCTCTCTTTCTTTCTCTCTCTCTCTCTCTCTCTCTCTCTCTCTCTCTCTCTCCTTCCTCCATCTCCTCTCTTTCCCTCTCCCCTCTTTCGTACTAAAGTATGGTGAAACAGTTCTTGCTTTATACATGTATAACTAACAAGACATTTTCGAATATGGGTAGTATGAGTACTTTTATAATATATCATATCTCCTCTCTTTTATTTCAGCCCGAATAGTGGACATTTTTGTGTTGTTGTTGTTGGAATAACGGCTTTGTGAGGAAAGGGGTGTTGAGCACTCACTTATTTGGTGTTTAAACATTATGCCTCCGGACAATTTAAAAAGAAAAAAAGCACTCTGTGGTCTTCTTTTTTTGTGGGGGGAGGGGTCTTTTTCCCCCTCTGTGTAACCCCCCCGTATGTTGCAGGCGAAATGCAGTGGTTATATATATTGTGCTGACTCGCTGTAAAGTACAACCCTAGAACCACAACGCTATGGTCTCTTCTGTATCTTTCCCTGGGTGGCTTTAGTTTCATGGCTCAGCTCCACTCAGCGAAGGAATGACGAGTACCTGTACAGTAGCTTGTAGCCTCTTCGTTTGTAGTGTATGTGTATGTCGGGGGGGGGGGGGGGTAGTGAGAGCGTGCGTGCATTTGTACGAAGCAAAGTTAAGTGCTCACGTACACACAGGCGGAGACCTCGCCTCAGGTTTTGGTTTTCTTCTTACCTGAATCCAGGTAGACATTGGGAAACAAGATGGATGTAGAGATGTTGTGCTATCGCAAGAATTCGTTGAGCACGTAGCGCCGATGGGTGGGTGCCCTGACAGCACACTGCTGCTACTGTGCTCTATCTGGCGCTCACTCACTCTGGGCTCGTGTGGGACGCGAACCTGGCCATAAAGGTGCTCTACCTTCGTGGTTGTGTTTGTGGCCGAGGTGGTAGAGTCGTGGCCGTGATACGGAGCTGCCTGCGGCACCTAGAACAACAAGCTCATCCTGGCATGCGGCCCGTCGGGGGTGTTCTCTCTTCCCTTTGGTTTCGGGCGAGCTTTCCCATGTGGCGGGTGTACACGTCGGAAAACTCGGCCTGGAACTCGTGGTGTTCAAATTCCTTTCGTTTGTAGGCTAGGCATGGCTGGGGGGGAAAGTAGGCGTGGCGGTAATGGTGAAGAAGGCAGTATGTTCCTTTTTGATGAGGGAAATTCGAAAACTAAGTAAAAACACGGCGACTGACCGCTGATGGTCACTGCTTGTACTCCTGATCTCGTTCTGTTTCGTTCCCGATGGAAAAGACTGATACTGGCTGAACTGATTACGATCGACAGTCGTCATGCAGTGTGAACGACCTTAATTAGATTCCATTTCGAGATGTCAAAAGCTAAAATCAAGTGAAATAACAAGTGATTATAAATGCGAAGTGTATGGGGCTTACCCCATCTGTTGCCTTTTGTGTGGACTGTTTTAATTACCTTGGCTAGGCGTGTGCAACACGCGGAAAGAAGACAATGCTGGTCGTATAGGTGTGTGGACACATGGCATGAATTAAAATTGTGGTCGAGTATGTTCATTAGAGATCACAGACACGCACTTATTAGACAAAACTGTTGTATACAGCTTCCATGGTAATGGAACTCCGTCGCTTTGACCGCTGCCCATGCAAGTAATCGTACAAGTAGTACTCTATGGGCTGTTGTGATGGTAGAGGATGAGCAGCTATTGGCGTGACTTGTTCTTGTTGTTGGAGTCGCTACTGTTGCCCTACATCTATGTCTACTTTTTCAGACTGCTGTTTGGGACTCTGTACCCGGCCTACGCCTCCTACAAGGCTGTGAGGACCAAAAACGTCAAGGAATATGTGAGTACTTCCTTATTCCTAATGTGTTCCATTAATATCTAACCAGTTCAGTTACAGTAACTGGTGGTTGGAGGTCACTCCCCCCCCCCCCCCCCTTTTTTTTTCCCTTTCTTTTCTTGTCTTTTTTTTGGGGGGGGTCTCCTCCTGCATCCCCCACCCCTCTCTCTCTCTCTCTCTCTTTCTCTCTCTCTCTCTCTCTCTCTCTCTCTCTTTCTCTCTCTCTTTCTCTCTCTCTCTCTCTCTCTCTCTCTCTCTCTCTCTCTCTCTCTCTCTCTCTCTCTCTCTCTCTCTCTCTCTCTCTCATTGGTCGTTATTGTGTCAATGAGGCTCTTTTCCTCCCTTTCTGTCGGGGTCACTTGAGCCTCCCTTGCATCCACCCCTTACCGTGTGGCACTTTGCTCAACATTGGGTTGGCTCGATTATATGGATGGTTCGGTTGAACGCGTCGACATGGTAGCTTTTGACTACTGTCATTCATCTTTTTAAAATAGATTGATTACAGTTTTGTTTTTAAAATGTTTTTTATTGTCTTCGACAACAGCAGAATTTGGTGTTCTATCATATTCACCCACCCCATGCCACCCTCTAGTGGGCCTAGGGGGTCATTAATGTGGACAAGCTGCTCTCCAAGGAGGTACAGCCTATGTCACTGGGAATTTGCTCTTGCGAATTTCTATGATCAGATGCGCATATGTGCTATTGTGTGTATGTGTGTGGTCTAAGCTTTGGTTTATTCTTTACTCCTCCCTCTGGGACAAGTGCTCAGACTTCAGAATGAACCAATGATTCTTGTAGGGCGTTTGTTGGGGAGGGGGCTACACCCCCAAAGTCAAAATTATGGAATTTGAGTTGTGGGCATTTTTAGCTTCCTCAGCTTCTCCTACAACTATTTCATAGCAAAAACCGTATTTTTTTCCCCATACCGGGCATGTTTGTCTCTGCCATTTCATCATAAAGTCAGTAGGCTATTTTATTTTTCTTTATCGGCCGTTTTCTCAAAACGCGACTTTTCTCTATACTTTTTTTAATAACTTCACTCAGAATGAAAAGAAGATGTAATACTAAAAATTTGTCTGTTGAATTTTTGATATATGGAATACATTTTTGTTGGTGGTGTCTGGAGTGTGGATTTTCACGGATTTTTTGCAAACTTGACTGCTACCTCAGGAAAAAATTCATTAAAAAATGTCTAATTCGTTTAGGAAAAAAACAACAGACAAATTTTTAGATATAATGTTTGTGAAGACGCATGCAAAAAAACATTTAATTTCCATGAGCGATAAGTGCGGTATTCATTACGTAAGACATGTCAACAAAATCCAATATGGCCGCCGTATCCATGGAAACGATTTTTTTTTCTCAAATTTGATTGCGGCTTTTAAGACTCCTTACTATGCTTGTTATATGTGTGAAATTTGGTAAAATTCGGTCCAGTAATAAGCGAGATAGCCTTCAGGTGTAGCCCCCCCCCCCCCCTCCTTAACCCATTTGAAACAACACAAAAGGCAAACGCTTTATGAATGTAATTTCTTCAGTAGTTAGCTCTTTTCTTGGGTTGGGCAGAAAGGAATAGTAATACTTGTAGCGGCCAAGAAAAAAAATCAAAAGGCAAATAATTGTGCCACAAAACAATGGGTAATCATGTGGATCGATTTAATGTTGCTTCTATCTTTTCCATGTACGTGGGCATTTTTTTGTTTTTCCTTGGTTTTTTATAATGTTTCTTTTTTTTCGTAATTTGGACGTGCTCCTGGAACAGGCTCTCAACAAATATAACAAGGAAGGTCGTGTACCTGACTTTGATAAAGGACTAATTTTTGAACGGACCGATTTCCATCATGAAAGGTATTATTTTCTTTCTTTTTCTTCCGTGCCAAATGGCCAGCTTACATCCTTGCCCACGTGTTTCCTATCGGTCTGTATATATGCATGCTTTTGATGCGTCATCTTTTGTCTTTGGGCCAAACGGCTACCCATGTGGTTCCTCTTTCTATCCCGTTGTTGACTTTGTTCAAAGAACACGAGTTCAGTGTATACAAGTCGATGCTGCGTCGGATGCCCAAACTGACACTGGAGTTTCCTCCCCCACAGGAAACTTTTTTTGTTTTTGTTTGACGTACCCTTTGTAGTTTCCTCAAACATCAGCGTTACCAGCCATCTTTTTTCACTACAAGTACTTGTTATTTCTTCTTCTTCTTCTTCTTCTTCTTCTTCTTCTTCTTCTTCTTCTTCTTCTTCTTCTTCTTCTTCTTCTTCTTCTTCTTCTTCTTCTTCTCCTCTCTCTCTCTCTCTCTCTCTCTCTCTCTCTCTCTCTCTCTCTCTCTCTCTCTCTCTCTCTCTCTCTCTCTCTCTCTCTCTCTCTCTCTCTCTCTTTCTCTCTCTCGCACACACACACGCACACCCATCCTTTTTAAAATCTTCTATAAATCGATGTTTGTTTTGTTGTTTTTTGCTCCTTTTTTTTTTCGTCTGGTACGCACTTGCTTCCCCCTCCCCCAACCCCACTTTTCAGTTCTGACTGTATAATTTACGTTCGCGGGTAGCCTTATTGGTGGGCGTTCTTGCTCCTTTCTATTTATTTTCATGTACTGGTAGTACGGTTTTGTTTGTTTTCAGTGAGCTCCTGCTCAGTTTCTAAAAATCGAGAATGTCACAAACCGCTATTCTTGCCCTGCTTGCAACTCGTTGTGAGTGTAGATCAGATCGAAGGTCACCTTATGTCTGACCCAGGGAGTGCTCCGGGATGGTGGGGATTTTTGAAAAAAAAAAATTCAATGCTGCCAGTGTTGTATTTGGTCCAGGCGAAATGTGTCCGTTATCTTGCTTGCTGGCCGTGAACTCCGGCTTTTTTTACCCCTCCGGTCGTTGTTGATTTTACAACCCCTCCCCACCCTTTCATTCTTTTTTGTGTTATCTACCTGGGTTTAATGTTTGAGACTTTTCCTTGTTATCCTTGTGGAAATTATGAAGTTAACTGTGACTGGTCGCGGAACAATGTGTCGACACAGACGTTTTAAAAAAGGTTCCGAAAGACGAGTTTCCGAAACAAGCAATCAAAGATTGTAATGTGTGTTTAGGTTGGGTTGGGTTTTTTTAAATTTGCATATAAAAAAGGGGGGGGGGCAGTGTTATTTGATTCCTTTCTCCGTGTGTTTTCCACTATTGTGTATTTTCAAACCAATAAAACAATGTTCAGCCTCTCGCATTAAGCACACATCCAGTTGTTATACCCGTAATGGCATTGGCATGTTAGAAACGAACGTTTTTTGTCAATACTTCCCGTGTTTGGAGGAATTTGGCGCACTCTGTATAATTAATGAATCATTATTCAACATTACTGTCTGCGAGCATCCGCTGATTTCTGATTTATGGTTGCAGACAACGACTTTTGTTTGGCTTTTAAAGCCTGCAGCTGATCCTGTTCGAGTGTTGGGTTTGTTTGTTTTTTTGTTGTTGGTGGGGGGGGGGTTGGGGGTAGTTTGTTTTGGGGTGGGGGGGGGTAGTTTTTAAGTGGTTTTTTTTTTTTTTGTTGTTGTTTTTTTTTGGGGGGGGTGGGGGGGGGGGGGGGAATGTGTTTGTGTGTGTGTGGGGGGGGTGATCGAGTATGTCCTTTTCTTTGTCTCTTTTGTTTCTGACTGTCAGACTGTCTATCTTTGTCTTTTTTCCCCCAGAAGGAAGGGCCAGTTATTGTGTTCTTCTCTTTACTCAAACAAACAAATTATTTTTCTTTTTTTTAGGGGGGGGGGTTGGTTAGTAGGGGGGGGGCAATCCCTTTAGTCCCTTTCTTGAGTGCAAGTAGTCACGAGGACGTGAGCGAGCTTCTGCATGATTGATTTGAGATTTGCCTATCACCATCACACACGCGCCCCGTGATTGTTTCATCGATCATGTGTTCCCCTTTCCTCCACTACTTCCTGGCACCCGACGTTCTCTCCACTTTGTTTTTAACCCATGCAGCAGGGAGAAAAAATAACCCCCTCTCCATACACACATTAGGGGGGGGGGAGGTGGTCCTGGTACTACCGTCTCTTGTCTCTTGCTTTTCTTCAAAGCTGTCCTCTTGAAGTTGTCTCTGGGCAACTTCAGCGCTAAATCTTTTCATTGTAGTCTCCTGAGCATATTTTTTTTTTTTTACTTTACTAACGACATGAAGGTTTGTAGCCTCGAAAAAGTAGTTTTGATTTCGTTTTTGAATCATGTATAAGTTCACTGTCGTTTCGTGCCATTGGCAGGCCTGAACTTAAACCCCTTTATATTACAGTAATTTTGGAACACCTCCTTCTCTCTCTCTGTCTCTCTGCCTCTCTGCCTCTCTGTCTCTCTCTCTCTCTCTCTCTCTCTCTCTCTCTCTCTCTCTCTCTCTCTCTCTCTCTCTCTCTCTCTCTCTCTCTCTCTCTCTCTCTCTCTCTCTCTCTCTCTCTCTCTCTCTCCCGCCCCATCCACTGCCTTTTTATTGCCGAATTCATTTGGAATTTGATAGCAAACTATCTTGTCACGCAAGTGCTTGATCAAAGTTATTATTGGCCCTGAGCCTCTCTGTCTTGGTCAGCTCTTCTTTCCCCTGGAAAGAAACAACAGCAATACATACAGGAGCTCAATGCCAGGGTTGTCGTTTCTCATCTATGCTTCTTTTTCCCCCGCTTATTTGATGTGGGTTGATGTTGTTGTTTTTTGTGTTGTTGTTGTTTTTATTTCACATTTTCCCATAACCTTTGTTTGCCAACGATGAATGATTACACCCCTTAACTCGTGAGCTTCTTCAGTCACTCTCCTGTCCATCCAAGGACGTCAATTTTTTTCTGCATAACATCCTTTCACCCTGAGGAGTGTAGAGAACCATCAGAAATGCTCTGGTGTCATGTGTCTGTTGTCGCATTAAGGTTGAATGATAGAGGGGGAGGGGGGGGGAGATAGAGAGAGAGGGAGGGAGAGAGGAAGAGGAAGGGGGGGGGGCATACAGACAGACACACGGAGAAAGGGAAACAGACACACAAGAAATG